GAAAGAACAGAGAAAAAAGACGAAGATTTACTATCGAGATTCATCCGAAACCCTAGAAATAATTCCCCCCAATTTCTCAGAGACATTGTAATTAATTTCATCCTAGCAGGGAGAGATACGACGTCGTCTGCTCTCTCTTGGTTCTTTTGGCTACTATCTTCAAAACCACTAGTGGAACAAAAAATCCTCAAAGAACTCGAATTTACCCGTAAAAAAAACAATAAATCACTCGGGGAAAGCTACGGTTTCGACGAGCTTCGAGAAATGCACTATCTCCACGCGTCGATTTCCGAAGCAATGAGACTATACCCACCCGTACCGATCGACACGAAGGCGTGCGAGAAGGACGACACGTTACCGGACGGCACTTTTATCGGGAAAGATTGGTTCATTTCGTACCACACGTACGCGATGGGTAGAATGGAGAGTATTTGGGGGGAGGATTGTTGCGAGTACAAGCCCGAAAGATGGATCGAAAACGGGGTTTATAGACAAGAGAGCCCGTTTAAGTATCCGGTTTTTCATGCGGGCCCGCGGATGTGCCTCGGGAAAGAAATGGCGTATATACAAATGAAATTGATTGCGGCCTCCGTTTTGGAGAGATTTGCGGTGGAAGTGTTGATGGAGAAAGATGAGTGCCCGGAGCATTTGTTGTCTTTGACGTTAAGGATGAAGGGTGGTTTACCGGTTCGAGTGAAGGAGCGAATTGTCTGAAAAAAGTAATGTTGGGGTTCTTAAGGTAATATTTATGATGTTATGGGTTGTCTTGTGATTAAATAAATACTTGTCTTTGTATGTTTGTATGTTTGTTGTTTGGCCTTTCTCTTTGTACAAATATGATTATAAGTTAAAATATTTATGTGTGTCAATTTATATGAGGTGGTTGATTATTCAAATAGGGGCGGAAATTAGAACGGAATTTTCTAGTAGATTACGATTTGAATATTTCTGATTATGAAACAATATTTTTTCTGATTTTCGATTATTGTTTTTGGCATAATTGAAAATATATATCAGATTTCACTTTCCGATTTAATTTCTTAAAATATTTCTGAAAAATCCGATTTTTTTTTTTTCCTTCTGAAAATTGCACTTATAATATCACTATGATTACATATTCTGCACTATAGGTGACTAAAATTTTGGAAATTCCGAAATCTGCCGTTTTCGATCCAAATATTTCCGATTTTGGTACATGTTTTTTCATTCCAATTCTCGATTTTCAATTTCCAAATTTTTTTTACGGACTTGGTCACTTCCGAAAAAAAAATGATTTTTTTAAGAAAAAATTACTAATTCCGATCCAATCCCTCCGATTTATACTCTAATAAATACTATTTTGAAGCTTCTTGATCAAATAAACAAAGGGAAAAATTAAGTTCTTTGGTCACAATTCACATAAACATACATTTTGCCATAAATTACCGATCTTTCGGGTTCGACCCGTGTCGGGAACCGCCGGTTCTTTTATTTTATTTAAAATTACATTAAAATCATGATCTTTGATCATGTCTAATTTCTCACTATATCTCCACATCATCACAAACTTCAATCTCCTCCACCGGTTTATACGTATAAAACCATGCGCAAACAACGTAGTACGCCAAATTAACCACCTGTACACCTGTCACAAGCCAATAGAAATTCTCCAACCGGCCCCGGTTCAGATTCCGGTCAGGCAACCAGTTCCTCGTCTCGCCGCTGCACTTATGAACCAACGTCACCATAACCGTGCTCACGTAATTCCCCATCGCTATAGCTATCCAGTACAGCGCCGCCGCGGTGCTCCTCATACTCTCCGGCGACTGGTCGTAGAGAAACTCTATATGCCCGACCGCCATGAAAACCTCCGCCAGTCCATGCAGGCAGTACTGCGGAACCAGCCAGAAAACGCTGATCGGGATGACAGCTGTCGGTTCGTCGAGGAGGTTGTACTCGGCCGCAACCGATTTCCTCTTGGTCTCGATTACGGCGGAGGCTATGGTGGAGAGAATGTTGATTCCGATCCCGATTCCCATTCGCTGGAGGCACGTGATTCCGGACGGGTTTCCGGTGAAGCGGCGGGCGAAGGGGACGAAGAGGCGCTCGTAGAGAGGGACGGTTGTTAGGGCGGTTAGGGTGCTGAATATTAGCATTGTTGCCGGTGGGATTTGGAATGCCGGAGTTAGATTCCGGTCCATCGTTCGGGCTTGTTGGATTGTGAAGCTTTGGAGTGGGGAATTCGATGCCACGAGGAGAATCGATGCGGATGAAATCGGCAGCATTCGGATGATGGTTTTGACCTCTTCGACTCTGTGCACCGTCGCCAGATTCCATAGGTTCGGTTTTTGGTCCGGTTTTAGTTCTTTCGTGTCGGAATCGGTTACGATTGCAGCCCGATCGAGCCACCTTCCGGTAGTCGAAACAATTTTTTTTTAAATTACGAAATTAGCCGTGTGGAAGTTATTAATTAGGGTAAATTACGAACAAACCCTCGAGAAAATACTAACTTACGGAATTAAAAAGATTTTACGTCGTGAGCTTACTTGAATTGATTCGAATGCACAAGCCTCCCCTTAGTGGTGATATCAGCATCGAGCTCACGATTCTCGTACAAAGCTCGTGGATCGATAGGACGTGGGCCCAGTTTCCGTTTCTTCAAAGCCGCGGAAACAACTTGCGCGACTCTAACAAACGGGCTCCCGTTGGGTTTAATTTTCCTATACAAAGACGAACCGAGTACGAAAGCGACTAAAGACAAGCCCATTGCGATAGTCGGTACACCGAGCCCCCAACCCCAACTTATGTTGTCTTGAATATAGACAACAATTGTTAGGGCAAGCAAAGATGACATTCCCATGCAAAAATAGTACCAATTGAAGAAATTCCAATTCTTTTTGTTGTTGTGTTTGGTCATGTCGAATTGATCGGCTGCGAATGTGAGTACGCAGGGGCGGAGGCCCCCTGTGCCGAACGACATTAGGGCTAGGGCTGCGTAGAGGATCCATAGCTGGTGGTTGGAAGCTTCTAGACAGTTTTTTCGGTTCGGACAAGGCGGCGGGCGGAGCTGCGGTAAGGTGGCGGATATTGTGATTGTAATCATTCCCTGTGACATTTGTTTGATCATCCAAATTAAAAGTTGAATAAATTAATTTCTTTAGCATTATAAAAAAAATTGCCGTATTTCGCGGGAAGTTTGTTTTTTTTTTCCTAGCTATTATTGAATGTAAAATAATTGAAATAGGACAAGGTATAACAAACTTACATGACCAATAATTTCAAAGTAATGTTATAAATGTCGCTTCAATTTATTAAGAATACCGTTTCGAATTCAAACTTAATTTTGACGATTTTTAACTCTGAATTTGGCAAAAACCAAAAAGCGGAATCTGTAGTTTTTTGAAATTAGCTTTTTAGTCGAGTCCAAATCACAAATATTAGATATCGGGTGCGAAAGATATGCACGCGAATCAATCAGCACTACCCAAAACCTTAATGTTTTCGGTTATCCAAAATTCAAAATATAACTCATCCGTGCATAACTTTATTACTCGTGATTCAATACAGCCGATCCAAGTTGGATCAGAAACATAACTCAGAGAACTACAATTTCCATACTTCGAATTTCACCAAAACGTACAAGATTACAAAACGGTCAAAATCAAATTCGAAATCCAAAACGACATCAGTAAAACTGAGAAACGAGAAGGAACTAAAAAGGGGAGAAATGAATTACCAATAAGTAGACAAAAGAAGCAATGGTGATTGTGTAGAACCTTCCAGCAAATGAGTCAGCAATAAAAGCACCAATAAGTGGTGTAAAACTTGAAGTCCCGCCAAAATTTGAAATTGTATTTGATGCCTTCACTAGAGGCAAGTTCAGAACCTGAGTTAGGTACGTTATCATGTTTGCATGAAAACCAGCTCCACCAAACCTGTCGCATATTTCATTTGCTGCACGTGTTCCACATTTTCCACATTCGTTAAATTAATTAATAAACTTTTTAGCGTAAATAGCACTTAACTCTCCAGTGGTTACAAGTTTTTGCAGATGACTCCCTTATGGTTTTAATATCAGCACATAACCTTCATTGTGGTTGATGAGTAGCTTCCGTTAGTGTTTCCGTCAAACTTAATCGTCTGTGTCGAACGCCAAAGTTTTTTTTTTTTTTTGCAGATGACCCCCTTGTGCTTTCATTTTTGCAGATGATCTCCTAGAAGTTTGACACACGCGGTTAAATTTGACGAAAAGTTAACGGAAGCTACCCCAGAAACTAGAAGGGGGTTATGTGCTGATATTACGAACACAATAATGTCATCTGCAAAAGCTTATAACTACAAGGGTTTAGTGCTATTTACTCAACTTTTGAAAATATTAAACACACACCAAAGAAACACACGGTGAGTTGACTCACCAAGAATGAATGGCATTGTTCTAACACCTCCAATCTTCCTGATCTTCTTGCCTCTAACATCTTGTTTCTTTTCATCAATATTCTTATTCTCTAACTCAAGATTTTCCATATTCAATTATATTTTATTTTATTTCATCAATCTTATTTTCTAACTCAAGGTTGTCTATTATTTTTGTAGTACTGAAATGAAAATGTAATGACAAAATAAGTGGGTATTATTATTATTTTTTGCCGAATTTATAATTGGGAAAATTAGGGGTAAAAAAAAAGACACACAAACTATGTGTGGATATGTGTAGATCTTCTAAATGAAGTTTAGATGTACTACTTATTTAATATCCTTGATTTTGGGATAATCATGAGAGTAATCACAATCATTAATAAAGCTATGAAACTTTTTTATCCCAATATATAACATTTAGGTTAACTTACGGACACCCCTGAGTTAAGGTTAAATTACGAAAAACAGCTCCTCATGTTTTGGTAATTATAACCACCCCTCAATTATGTATTGTCTTACGAAAAAACCCATCATTCAGTAGGTAAAATTTGATACCGTAAGGTGGACGTGTAAGACACTACATAGTTGATGACTGGTTGTTATTACCCAAACAAGAGAGGTTTTTTCGTAATTTAATCTTACCTCAGGGAGTGACCGTAATTTGCCCTAACATTTATTAAATTACATATTTGTTCATTTATTACACAAGAATTGTGTGTCTTTTAATGTCTGTTTTATCAGATACTGAGACTGGCTTCTGTGATTTTGTTTTTACATATATCAGTTGTTGGAATTTTATTGAATGTATATTTGTCATAAGACATACTTTGCTTCAACAAAATAATTTTTTTATCCTATGTAGTATTGACTGTAAATAATTGATATGTACAATTAGTAAAAACCAAAATCGAAACCGAAACCGAACAGAAACAACTAATTAGTAAAAAATGTATAAAAACCAAAAATAAGTTTATTACTGAATTGTCCATAGACAACATTACAAGATGGAAACATCAGCCTAAATTTCAAACTTTCAGAGTTAACATGGTTAAAGATAGTTCCAGCTACATTCGATTCGAGTACATAAGTTATACAGTAAGATTACGCCTTTGACTATCTACAAAACTTTGACTCACACTCCTAGCCGTTGGATCACTCCAAATCTCATGTCGTCACGAGATGAGCGGACCCCTTAAACGGAAGCATGCACGAGTAAGTCACGTACTTAACACTGTCGATTAACACAACAACAAAAATCCTCGTCAGGGACTTTGCCCCCATCACACCGTCCACGTCAGCATCACCCGCTTCTCTAGGATCGAAAAGAACGGAAACCACCATTGAAGATGTGTTGTGGTTCCCGTTCAGGTCCTCTTTCTCCGAACTTCTTCCGGAATGTTCTGTGGAGACGTTTCTGGCAGGTTCCGGAAGTGGAATAGGATGGAGGAACCTTCTATTCATTCCTTTGCTTAGGCCATGAGTTGAGTTTTTGTTCGTTTCTTCGGATATGTTTCTTGTAGTGGTGGTAGATGGAACCATGGATACTGGTTGAGAAGCTGCCAACACATCAAACTGGAAAACTTCGGTGCACATGCCAGCACTCAACATTGGGCCTGTAAAAAAGTCAAGACAGACGAAGAAAAATTAAAAATAAATTCTCTTCCAATTCAACGAATCGATACATTGAGAATCGTATTAATAAACAGAAGTTTCTCTATTGTCTGTCATTTCTATAAGTACCCTCTTTTGAAAAATAGAGATAATCCATATCATGCTATGAAAAGCATATTTTCTCATAAAGAGTAGTTTTCTAAATGCATTTACCCATTCCAAATATGCGAAACTCTAACGAAGATCCGAAAAAGACAAAAAAATATGCCAGCAAGACAAACAAGAAGGGCATCAAACTTCGAAGAACACTTAGAAATACAAAGCCAAGAACATTTCACGGACATTTATTATCCTATACGTCTAACAGAAAAAAACTACAATTGCTAGTAGTGTCTCTGTTCTTGCATTCATACAACCAAGGAAAACCCATGATTAGTTCAAATTTGGGCCGAAATTTAAGTTAAACAGTCGTATAAAACAAATCAATAATATGCAAAAAGCAAAGATAATTACCAGCAAGCCCTTCACGGAACCATTGTTGAAGCCTGCCATCAGTTGCGGTTGACTTCACACTATCCTTGACTGCAGAACCAGAACCAATAGCCCTTAGTTGGGGCTGTATAGCACCATTTCTTCCCACACCTGAAACAGAAATCGCCGGAGATAAATCTCCGGGGACCACCAGACCAGTCCCACCACCTCCCTTGCCATGTGACGCCATAGCTTTCTCACTTGCCAACACTGAATGGATAATCAAATTCCCATCTATCTTAACAAGCTTATCATTCCTAGGAACATACAAAGACGCCGCAAGTGGTTCGCTGCCATTGCGCGATTGACCAGATTCATCTGCACTTGGCTCCACCGCGCTACCATCGCTTCTTTGACCACAATGTACACTACTATTACTATTACTAAATTCTCTTCTACCACCATATTCGGTACCATTTACCATTAAAACTCTCCCACGGTGTTTCTCGTTAAACCCGCCTCTAATATAACTTTCTCCACCTGCAAGTGTTTCCCTAACTCCTCCATATCTTACATTAACCATTGGGACCAAGCCCCCAAACAACATTATGAAAAACAACAAACCGAGAAAACTAACGCTTGCAACCTTCTTGGTCTTTGGCCCCTCTTTCTTCTTACTTTCCACCTTCTTATTTGTCTTTGCCTTTGGGGGCTGTGATGGCTGCTGCGGCTTCAACCTCGGAATCGGAACCAAAGGAACATGAGACCCTTGTGGTTTCATCATGTAAGGTGGAGGACAAGGCATCCATGGATACATCATGGCAGGATGCGGGTACATTCCGGGAGGTGGCGGCACCATTGGAGGAGGCGGAACTGCGGCGGCAGCAGGAGCTCCACCACCACCACCACCCATTTGTTGCCGGAGAGTCACATTTTCGGCCATAAAGTATGAGATCTTTGCATTCAAGTCTTGAATGGTTGAATGCATGTTCCTCACTTTATCCTCTAACTCCTCTACGTAATGTTTCTTCCTCTGTCGAGACAATTGGGCGCTCTCCCGATTCCTCAACAACCTTGCCTTCTTTTTCTCATCCTCTTCCATCGACCCCCCCTCATTTTCGTTGCTACTATTGTCATTGTCTGTGTCACAGTTAGATTTCCTACACTTATTAATCCTCGATTCGACATTATCAACAATCACATCATCACCCTCCTTTTTCCGTTTCAGCAAAGAATTACTGCTATTTTTGTTATTACCCGGCTCCTCTAATTTAATATTCTGATCTACAACTCCAGTTCTAATTGACCTGTTACTCGAATTTGGGGAAGAACTTACCGATCTGACGGTGCAATTATTTGAATCCTCCGACACGTTAGACCCGAAATTACCAGAACCCTGAGATTCCGGCGAACGGCAATTCAATTCCTTTTCACCAACATCACAATTTTCAGTGCCGCCGGGATTCGATCCGTTCGATTCAGGCGACTGCATGTTGAGGTAGGTCGAAATCTGGTGTGCCTCCGTTCCAGGGGAAGCCGAATTGAGAACCCCGGAACCATCCCAGCTCTGATCGGCCGGTAAATCACCTTCCCCGGAAAGATGATGCAATTCCTTGGAATTCGATTTGAAAACGCCGTGCAATTGATCGAAATTCGGTTCGAATTGGGGAAAACTGGCCTCTATTCCGGATTGGAAATCGGATTGCTGCAATCCGGTGGGATTGAGGAGGTCGTCGAGATCGTCGGAGGAAGGGAGGCAGAGATCGTCGAAGGAGAAATCGAAATCTAGGTCTTCGATTACGACGTCGTCGTTTTGGTCGTCGCCTGATTGACCAACAATATCGAGCATGTGATCGGTGAAGAAATTGGTATCGAGAGGCGGCGTATCGAGGCCGGAATCGAATTCTCCGTTTAAATTCGCCGGTAGAGGATCCACGGCGAACGCCGTTGCGTCGGCCATTTTCTCCGGCGAGTTTGTTGTGTGTGAACTGTGAAGACGTTGGGGAAAAGTCTTTGCTCAGGTTTTAGGAAAAAACGGAAGAGGGTCTCTTTTAAGGACTGTGATTCTGGAGTGATGAATCACACGCGCCGAATGTGGAATTGGATTACACGCACTTTTCAATGTGGATTGGATTGTGTGATTTCCTTTGCAAATTTCGGAAATATTATATTTTCCTAAATATTATATTGTAAATAAACAATTATGGGATGTTACTTCTTTAATTAAGAATGAAGGAAAAAATCATTCAATTGTAATTTTCTTTTAATTTTTATAAAAATTAAATTTAATATCATAAAATATATAAAAGAAAAAGATATATTATTAAAAATGACAGAAATCTGAATATTATTTGGTTATTCAGATGCTACACCCAGTGAAGTTCACTCGGGTAATTATTAATCGTTGAATAATTAGAATTGTGTGTGGTTATGTGCAGATCAACGGTTGATAATCACCCGATGTATTTCAAGAGGTAACATTAAATAATAAATAAATCGTCCATCTCTAAGGATCCAATGAGATTTTATATTAGCTAAATAAATATTTATATATTCATTATACATGGCTAGTTTGAAAATCTACTATCCTAAGTACAATCTGCCTTTTTTTATTATTATTTGCCAGAATTAAAATACCAATTAATACGATCTAATCACAATATTTCCTAAAGAACACGAATATTATAAAAATTTGGTCAAAATATAACTAACTATAAAAGCTATGTTGCGGTCAATTTTGCCCTTTGACAAATTCATAAATCACATATGCTTAATTTATTATTATGTTGGAAATAATATTTTATGCTAAAAGAAATTTGCCTTTTGAAAGTAAAAATATTTAATATTACCTTGTATATGGAAATTTCATGTAATTATTCTAATCAACCAGTTTTAGATGTTCAAATTTGATAAAATTCAATTACCTTATGAAAAAAATCGAAAATCGAAACTTTCGAAAATTTGGAGCGTAAAACATTGCTCCAAAATTGATTATTTTCTTATCAGAATTGATCGAATTCGATTTTTTTTAATTACCTATAATGTAACACACATAATAATATAGATTTTATAAATATAATTTTTGAAAATCTAAAATCAAGTCAATAATAAGAATGTAATATATATTCCAATTTCGTATAAAACCATTTGTTAAACCTAAACTATTTCAGGTTTCGACGAAAAATATTGTTCTGAAATCGAAAAATATTCAGATAGAATTCGAAAGAATCCATTCAATTGACTACCTCTAGTTACAATTTACAACATATAAAATCTCTCTCTCTCTCTCTCTCTCTCTCTCTCTCTCTCTCTCTCTCTCTATATATATATATATATATATATATATATATATATATATATATATATATATATATTATGATAATTGTTAATAAAAAAATTATGAGCGCGTGAGAGAGACGCTCAAAGATGAGATGATGGGGGAAGAAAGCCTAATATAATAATTAATATGGGGTTTAAGAACGCTCCCCCACTTGGTATCACGAAACTTCTTTGCTATACTACTATTTTTATCCCTTCTTCATAACGTCAACATAATGTTTTCTTTTGGGTAAATTACATCCAACCCCCTAAGGTTAGGTCAAATTACGAAAAAACTCATTATATTTGGGTAATTACAATCACACCTCTTAATTATGAACATTTTTACACGTTCACTATTTCGGTGTCAAATTTAATGGAATCTTCTAGATTATGTGGAATATTCTTCGGTTTTTACTCGTTGTGCTCTATTCGAGCTCCACATTTTGAAACAAAATGATCATAAGATGTGACTCTTGGCTTGTAAATATCAGATTGTGGTGTATTAGAATCTACATTTTTGCACAAAACGAGTACAAAATAGAGTGCATTCCACGGAACGTAAAATATTCTGTTGAATTTGACACCATAAAGGTGGACATGTAAGAAAATTCATAGTTGAGGGTGTGGTTGTAATTATCCAAACATAATGGGTTTTTTCGTAATTTGACCTTACATCGGGGATAAACGTAACTTACCCTGTTTTTAAAAATAATTAATTAATTAATTTATTAATAATAAAACATGACGTGCTTTTTATTACCAGAAAATATTGTTGTTATCTTCTTATCTTTTTTCCTCTTTTCCCTTTCTGTTTGGATCAGCTTCCTACATTATTACATACACATTTAGGTTGCTTACCTTCTACTACTTAATATTCTCTTTTCTTTTTATTAATTAAATAATTAAATAATTATATCTCGATTTACATATTTCGTGTGATTTGCAAATTCAAAAAAAAAAATAATAATAATAAATGAATAACAATTGTTATTGAATTTTTATTTCCTTTGATTTGGAAGTCAAATCCTATTGAAGAAAACAAATTAAAGTTTAATAAAGTCTGGTACAACATATGACCTTAATTGGGGTAATATAGAATAACATTGAATTGTATATATTGACTGCAACACACGTTCAATGCTTACCTGAAGATGCGAATAATACAAATTAAAAAATAATAATAAATCCAAAATTAGTGGATCAATTTTTTTTAATGTAATTAATTAAATTCCAATTATGAATGGGAAGATTTTTATTCCGTTATTTAATTAATTAATTAAATGGGCTGGTCATAATCTGTATATTGGACTGGAATTTTTAGCCTTCGTATGAAACCATATCCCACTAGGCCCAAAAGGCCAAAGACCATTAATCAAAGTGGGTCCCATCAAAATTACAACCACTAATTTTTTTATTTTTAGATTTTACAAATTTACAAATTAATATATAACTCATTTTTTTTTCCAAAATTGACGCAGGACGGGAAGCACGGTAAAGAATTATTTTTTACGAATTAATCCTATAGAACAAAATAATATTTCGAATCCACCGAATACTCTGAAATCCACCAGAAAAATAGAGAAAACTCTAAATATTTTATTAAAATTCGAAAATTCTTCTTAACATAAAGTCCTAAGGCAGCTATTTATACTAAAAAACTGAAAACCCTAATTAAAATAAAAAAATTCTAAAAATTACCAAAAATGAAAAAAAACGAGTTAGAGTCTGATTCTAGTAGATCTCGTAATTTGGGGAACAACCCAATTTACGGAATCCTAATCCGATTTTTCTATGATTTGATATTAATTTTCTAAAACTTACCTAAAATAGCAAAAACGAACTTTTGGGAGTCTAAACGACGTTGGATTGCTGAAATTTGACGTGATTCATGAGCTTTGCTCATGAGTTTTGTTCCTTGAGCCGTTTCACTTAATATAGAGTTTGTTTCGTACTCAAATACAAATTGAGTTCGTCGAAAACCCTTATTTTTCCATAATTTCTTGCGATATTTCCACCAATGCCCATTAATAACTCTTCTCCGAATTAAATAGTTATTTTGCAACTCGAATCCAATTTGACGTTCCTTATCAAAAATATCTTTTTGTAAGTTATTGACGATAATTTTATCGAAATACCATTAATTAGCCATAAACGACATGGATTTATTAGATTTCGAAAATAATACACTTGAAAGTGAGATGATTTTCATAGGGCTAAAATCTATTTTTACATCCGAATCGAATGTATGATAATAACTACGTCTGTCCGTCTGTCGTGGATGCGAAAGCAACAAACTTGTGTCTGCCGTAAATGCACTTAGACAACAAAGTTGCACTTCACTCAAACGCAACGTTGACGAACTTGCACATATCGTAAACTCATTTATTTCATGGTGATATAAATCGTCTCAAGTCGAAAAAATTCACTAAAGCTTGTATTTTTATCCAACAAAATCTTTTGAACAAATCTTTAGGATACATAAAAGAACCCTATTTTTCAATTTCAAGACAACTCTGTAAACAAATTTCAAATTTAGATGATTTTCCCTAATCTAATTATAAAAATTAGAAAAAAAGTTGTTTAAATTCGAATTTCAACAACATTAAATGTAATAAATATAAACGGAAGAACCAAATTGTAAAAAGTTTTATTTAGAATCTATATTGGAGGAATGATAAATAATCATAAATAATTAAAAAATTAATAAATAAAATATTTTTTTTTATTCCAATGTGATTGGTTAGGTTTTAACGACTCCTAATTGTTGTCGTTTTTGGTCTTTGAAATTTCATTCAATACAGAAAAATTAAAGAAAAAAGAAAAAATAAATAATAATAATAATAATAATATCTGAAAGAAACGCCGTATAAATCCAAATTCCAAAAATTCCCCAAAAATCCATCACTCTCGTTCGAATCGAACTGTGTAGAGAGAGATAACTCCAGAAGGAAATTCGAGGAAGGGGTTCCCCTTTTCTCAAATTCCCCTCTTCTCGAGTCACAATTTTTCTGTATCTATAGTTTTTATATATATACGTACGCAGTTTGTTTGCGCGCGCCATGGATTTGACTCGTCGAGCACCTCTTGATGCTAACGGGAGCTGCGCCGCCGTTTTGGAGCAGACGGAGAAGGGTAATCGACCGCCGCCGCCGCCGCCCGATTTGTCGATGGTGGATCCGTTTCTCGTTGAGGCTCTCCAAAACCCTCGCCATCGTTTAACCAGTTAGTTCCTTTTATTCTCTTCGATTCTTTTTTCCCCTAGTCAATTTTGTTCCTAGGGTTTGTAGTTTGATTGGAAATTGAAATTATGGCTTCTAATTTTGAATTATCTAGTGGGCGTTAATTTTAATTGTTGTTTTGCTTTGCGGTGGTGCTGTGTTCATGTAGATCTGGATGGGTTATGCTGAATTGTCGTTTCGTTTTAGATTGTTATATTGTAGAACAAGAGTTTTATGAATTTGAGAATATTGCAGCATGCATGTACATTTTATGGTTGAAATTCGGCTTTCGTAAATCTAGTTATAAATTATGAACTCGGCATATTTGTGAGAAAAGTTTTTCCTGTATACGCTGTCAAGATTATGTGCTTGGCTATTGACGGTTTCCGTTTACTCTCTGTTTTTACTGGGAAAGAATGTTCTATGGCCGCAAGAATGAATACGATTGTTGCAAACATTGATATTTTCACATTTGTTTGGCTATCGACATCTGAATAATACTCATTTTCCTTTATTTTAAATTATCCATGGCAACTTACATATATTTTTTACTTGATTTTTGCAGTTCTACGGATGGAGCTCGATATACAGAAGTTCTTGCAAACTTCTGCTCTGCAGCAGTTCGAATTTCCACACTTCCCGACTTCATATCTTCGTCTTGCAGCGCACCGTGTTGCTCAACACTACGGTCTGCAGACTATGGTTCAAGATACTGCCCCCGATGGTCAAGGGGTCCAAATTCTGGTTATAAAGAACCAAGAGAGTAAATTTCCAGCTGTCTGCTTGTCAGAAGTTCCAGCAAAAGAATCGGAAAATGATAAGCCCGATCAAATGAAGATTGTCATTAGACCAAGACCAAAATCTTCATCTAGTGACACAAGCGAACTAGGGAATAAACGCAGTCCTGTAAGAACGGTGGAAGAGAGGAAGGAAGAGTATGACAGAGCACGAGCTCGTATTTTCAGTAACGGTAATTATGAATCAGAAGGCGGGTTGTCTCGGTCTGCTTCAGATGGATTTAATTCGAGCATAGACGATAATGAAATTGGTAATTCCTCTAAAGTCGCAATTATTAGAGACAGGGAGAAAGATCGCACCGACCCTGATTACGATCGCAGTTACGACAGGTATATGCGCAAATAAATTCAGAATAGAATATTATATATTTTCCATTTTCTAATTCATACTATCTTATTAGATCGATCTATGATCAAAAGGGTTTTATTATTTTTTTATGAGTCTTTAAAATATAACCTCTAAGCACCAAATCGCTCTATGATCAAAAGGGTCTTTAAAATATAACCTCTAAGCACCAAAATACGTACATTTGCATAAACCTCTGTAATAGTGTACATTCTTGAATTTTATATAGGAAATAATTCTGAGACTCGTTTTCTTTTCTGATACGATGCAGATATGTTAGGAGTTTCCCAATCACTCAGAGTTTCGGCATGGAACCTCTTAGTATACACAATTTCCCGCCTCCGTTTATCCAATACAATTCCGGTTTTCAACATCTGGGCCATCAGATACATGCTCCTCAAGCTCCCGTTAACTACAGGACCCCGACAATGAGTCCATACTGTGAAATGGGATTGAATCAGAATCCTCCTGGGAATGGTTTATATATGCAGTGGCCAACGCAATCCATGATGTACGCTCAATCATATGATCAACTAAGACATGCCTATTTTCAGGTAAATTCCGGGTTCTTTTTCTCGTACTTTTTTTCCTAGTATTTGAAATAATTCTGGATGATACATTTAGGTGCAAATGTTAAGTCCTTGGATATTACTTAGGCCTCGTTTGGGTATGTTAGAATGTTGACGGGGATTCATAAGATTAATTGAATTGGTCTTTTTTTTTTTTAATATATAATTTTTCTATATTGAATTAAGTTTGTGATTATAAAATCCTTATATTAGGTAATAAATAACCTTCATGGGATTCTGTACAGAACCATGAGATTGTGTAGGAAGGGGGATTGAGTTTTGACTAAATATCCTTCATGGGCTTGATTGAAATCCGGGCCCGTTTTTCTTTTATCGCGGGCTTGAAACCTAAACCCCAAACATTTGACAAACATTGGTAATATTGTCTATCAAGTCCTATCCTAATTCCCAAACGAGGCCTTAGGGTTTTGTTTTGTCCTTTCGCCTTTTGTCATTCCAAATGTGGCATCGTTTCCAAATTGTCGTTTAGTGCCCAATTCGAACAGGATTTTGCAATGTTTTGAGTGATTTACTCGTTATCCTGTCGACATATTTTGTCGTTTTGCTAGTGCAATAATACAATCTTCGGTTATACGGTTTCTTTTCTCTGCATCACTTATTTCAGTACGCAACTAACGCACTTTGTTAATGCTTTGTCGCAGGCACCTTTCTATCAGCAGCCTCTAAGTTTTGATTACTCACAGAATAATCGATAACAGTCGTATTGTCCTTTGATAATTGTCTGTATTCATTAGTGTGTTAAAGACAATTAAATTTGATCTTATAAATTTAGCTTGTTTTACCTTTTTGATTGATATTAAGGTGATCTTATGGACTGTTTGTTTTTATGATACTTATAATTTGTTGCTACTTGTTATTATTAATATTGTTCGCGTGTGTGGTTCGTATTTTCTATCGTTTTTCGAGCAAGTTCGTTTTTGTCAAGTCTTGTGCGATATTTTTTTAAAAAATCATTAATTTATAAATACTTCTCCAATAAGGGCAATTCACACAAAAAATTGTATACTATAGCACACATCTTCAGCTAAAAATAGCTATTGTTAAAAAAATTAATAGTTTTAAAACGCTGAAATATATAGTATAAAAGATGTTTATTAATTCGTATTCGAACTAATTTTTTGAACAATCAAATAAAATCACAAAAAATGTGTGTTATGCTAAAAATTGTTGAAATTTTCAACTCTTTTTTTCACTAATTTGGAACAATCCTACGAAATAACAAAAAAATGTATACTATTTAGGTAGAAGCCGCAATGTTCTAAAATTCTTAAAAAAAAATTAACACAAATTTTTGGATTAAAGAATTTATTGGCAACACAAATGGCACTTTACTTCAATAAGAAGATGCCAACCAAGATGATTTCATATAACTAAAAGCCAAAATGAATATATAAAATTAAAAGCCATGGTCCCGTAAGGGATGGTTTATTAGGTCGAATATGAGAGCACAATGTTTAATAATACAGGTTTGATTTTTTGCTGTCAGTAAATTTTAAATTGAGCTCGTTACATATGATTAATGCAGCTTGTTCAGTTCAGTTTACAAATCTCGTATAATTTATAGGCTATTGCACGAGAGTGAAATCTCTTTGTGTCACTTTCTCAACAAATCTTAAGATTAGTTTAAAAACTAAACTTAAAACAAGGATTTAAAGCACATGGTTCAAAGTGGGAGCCAAATGCTTTGTTTGTATTATATTATATAATAATATATATACAAGAAAAAACCAAATTAAAGGCAGATGATGCCATGAGAATAATTCAATTGCCAGCTTGTCATCATCATATATTATAATTTATTTAAATTTACAATATTATTATTTAATGATTTTTCTTGATGTTATAATAATCATAGAGTTGATGGATAATGGTTGATTTGTTTATTGATTACCATACAACTAAAGATTTGTTGAGTGTGAACTGTCAAACAATGAATGAAGCCCTCGTTTGCGACAAAATCAATCTTGAAAATCCACTTATTTAATTATTTAATAATATAAAGTTTTGATTAACGAATGAGATTATGTTGTACATATGATATGACATTATCTTGTTTTAATAAGTGGGTTAACAGATTGGATCTGTTTGGATTGGACATTAATTAATTAATTAATTAAAAGAATTCGGACAATTAATTAATTAATTAAATTAAGAAGACCAAGAATCGTGCGCGGTCGTGTAGGCGGGTAGCACGCTTTTTATATTATTAGTTAAGGGCTGGATTTTTTAACACACACGATTCTTATTACAAAACAATTATTGCGAGTTGTGACGTGACCTATCTACTACAATTATGGAATCTTTTTTTTAGTGATTTTTTTTTTTTAATTTTTTTTTTCTATTGCACTTAGAAATAGCAAGTAAAAAAAAAGAATATGTGTATATTTATTTGGATCAAAAATAAAACATTGACCCCACCACTTATTGCTTGGTTAGAAATCTTTAATTAACATAATGAAGATAAGCATCACTAGTTGTAAATGACTTTTTACATATTTTTTTTTAATTTTTATTGAAATTTTTTTTTTCATCAAAATATAAATATTGAATTATGGAAATTTCAATGACTCAAATATAAGTATTTAAAATAACAAGGAGAGAGAGGGAAAAAAAAAAAAAAGGCGACCCTATCCCATGAAAGGTGGTCCACATGAAAATGAAATGACCAACCAAATATTGTAAATAAGTTGTTAGCTTCTTTATTTAATTATTGTAATGTTTTGGAAACCGGACAGGACAGCCCGGAAGATTGGGAGTAATGAAAATTGAACTCAAAAGTTGTCCGATCGGTTAAACTGCAAACCGGTGGCCGGCACAGTCCGATTGAAGGTAAAACCCAGAGAAGTGCAAAACCCCATGTAGACTTGTTAGGAACTGGAAAACCCGTGGTCGAACCGGCCAAAACCGGTCAAAACCGGGAAAGAAAACTGGTTTTATATAAACAAAGAAAAACAAATTCGGCAACATTTAAGAATTATTTACTTGTAATAAATCACACCAAAAAAACCATAACATTCAAGAAAGGATCATCACAATATAATGTAGCATCTCAATCACTTGATTTTCAACAATAAACTTCCACAAATTAACATAATATTAATGTAAGAGAATAAACATTAGAAATCGATATTGTTTTCGACACCATTTACAGCACTAAACACGAACCGCGAAAACTACATCGCCCGCCCTTGTAACGAAGATAGTTACGAACTTATTACCCTCTCCAACTTCCGATCATTTGCAAGATTCTCGTTTTCTTTTCTTTTCTGCCTCCGAGAATATTCAAGAGTACCGTTTGCCTCTCTAAGTGACATCATGTTTAATATCAGTCACTAACTGATATAGAGAGACAGCACAATGCTACTTGCACATATACTTACACTTATACGGACCCGAAAAAAATCGGGGTAATTAACTACCGGATTTTGGGGGACACAACACAATCGGACTCGATCTAAGTAAGGAACGACTACTAATTAAGTTTTCTACTACAGACAAACTAATTTAAGTTCGACATGATCTCAAGAAACAGAGTAGTTAAGAATAGTACTAATCAAGAAACAACCTTGAAAAAAAATACCGAATTTTAATTAATTTTCACAATGCTAAAGGAGAAGCCAAACATACACATGATTTTGTTAGCCGAATGGAGTAGTAGTAGTTCAATCGTCGCCGGTGGGGAAGAGGGTGAGAACTTTCTTTCCGTTTGCGGGAGTTGCCGATTCCAAATCTTCAGTGGCGGCGTACGCTGGCGGCACCACCATCCTCTGCAGCGGCGGCTGCGTTTGCCTCAGGAAGGGGTGCTGCTCGAACTGCCCGTTGGGTGGGGAATTCCCGAAATGCCTGAATTGGTGTTGGAGCTGTGGGTGGTGGTGGTGGGGGTGGGGGTGGGGCGCCGGACCCACCACGGCCATCTGGTGGTGGTGGTGGTGCTGCATTGCCGCCGCGGCGGCAACGGGGACGAAGGGTAAGTAATGGTCGGAATTGGGCCGGCCCGGATGGAGGAAATGGGCCGGGACGGGTGAGCTGGCGAAGAGATGGTCTGTGGCTGCGTCCATGCCAGAGGCCGGGCTGTTGCTGGCGCCGCCGCCGTTGCTGGAGATGCCCTGCATCCGCTTTAAGTAGAGGCGGTACTTCTGCAAATGGCTGGCCACGTTTTCTCTGGTGAGTCCGTCAACGCTCATCAGCTGCATTATTGTCTTCGGGACGGCGTTCTTGATCCCCAAGTGGGCCACGGCGTCCACGAACCTCTTGTGCAGCTGCGGGGTCCACACCAGGCGGGGGCGCTTGAGCGTACGCGCCGGCTCGTCTCCGCCGCCACCTCCAGCTGCACCGCTCATCTCCGGGGAGTCGAACTCAGCGGAGGAGTTGGGTTGGGAGGAGATGGCTGTCGATTGCGGCGGAAGCGCCGCCGCTGCCGCCGCCGCCTGCGGCGGCGGCGGCGTGTGGTGGGGATTGGGAATGTTGAAAGCTAGTGCGAGATCGGGAGTGATTAGGGATTGGGATAAGGGCATCAATTCCTCCGGCGACGGAAGTTCTTCTTCCCATTTGGAAAACCAACTCGAATCTTCTTCCCTCATATTCTTATTTAATTTCTTCCCTTTTCTTCACCCTCAATTTGGATTATATTATTCAACACAGAATTCGGAAATAAATAATTAAATAAATAGTAAAACATAAAAAAATAAAAATAAAAATCTGGTCTTTTCTCCAGAATTTCAAGATCTTTTTACACAGAAATCAACGAAATATATAACCCAACTGAGTGGGAAAATAATTAAATTAAAAAAAAAATGATTATCTGGGACTGATGAAATTCTGGTTTCTCAATCAAGAAAGATAGCAAGAAAATTCTAGAGAGAGGGGTAGAAGGTAGAGAGAGAAAGTGGGTTTATGTATGGAGGAAGAAGGGGAGGGGTGATCGAGGTGGATCTTGTTTTCTTCTTTTCAGCTGTTATTAAGGTTACTGTTTATTGATGCTTTTTTTTTTTCTTTCTTATGATTTTTATGTGATATAGTGTGTGTTCTAGAGCGTGTGTTAGTGTGTGTATTGATGTCCTATTTTTTATTTCCATGATTTATGGGTATGTTTTTATACTTCAGAGTTTTCTCTCAGTCTGTGTCACTACTAAAAAAGGGTTTTTATTATTTTTTTTTTCATTTGCAATAAATTTTTGGACATGGGGATGTATGTATATATATATACATACACATACATACAGATTGGTCGTATCTATCTAATGTACCATAAAACAAGAAACCAGGATATGTCTTGGCGCGTGAGGGACACGGTGGGCTCCTATTGGCCGAGAACAATCAATCAGGTGGGCATGTGATCTTCTTGCATAGGAATTTAAAAAGATAAAGTCAAGATCTGATAGATTTTTTTGGGTCGAGAAATATAGGAGGAAGCAAGAGATGGAACATAGATTTTCTTTTTTTATTTATTTAATTATTTATTTTAGTATTTTATGATGCATTTAATTAGGCGATTGTAATGCACGCGCGTTGATGGCGGTTGGAGTGAAAGAAAAGGTTCTTTTTGATAATTAATATTTTTTTTATGGGGGGTTTGTGGAAAAAAGAGGAAGATAGGAAAGTGTAAAGATAATTGCAAAGTTAGGTCCCTTTGTTGTTGTTTTTTTCTTCTTTTTAAGTGTGTTGTTGATGTGAGAATCAAATGATTTTATATCTTTTTAGTGGGATTTTTTTAAGATGTTGACTAATCTTTAATATAATTAAGTAGAAAAATAAATAAATAAAATTAGAAATTAGAGTTATAATATTTTCAATGTATTGTTGTTTTTTTTTTTTTTTCATGTATTGTGATAATTTTAGCAAATGGAGTCACTCTATCTATAGGGGGTTGAATGTCAATATTTTTAAACGTGTAATTGTCGGATGGCATAATTTACGGGATATAGATGCCGAAATTTTAAATATTTGGATTTTTATTGTGAACTAGTCGTAACTTGGAGGATGTGGATGCAAATCCGAATCTTAATAAGGACCGAATTTAAAATATATCTATCAATCATGCAACAAAGATGTGGGAGCACACAACAAATTAAATATGAGCCACACACTTAAATAACTACTATCAATTTGAAGTTAATTTTAATTTCATTTTTACAATTATAGAGTTACATATATAATGATCTCATTTATCATAATCAAATACCATAATTAGTTATATATTTAGTATATTTTTAGAGAGATGAAATTAAAATAAAAAATATTCTTGAATGATTTAAGTAAAAGAATAATTAACCTATAATTGAAAATATGTGTATAGACACACACTAGTGATTTATTCGTGTCAGAAGTAGGGAATATATTTGGGTGCTCGATGTGATTAGTGGTTGTTTGTTTGTAATGATAATTGACTTTTTGATTCGAATATACATTAGTGAAGATGTGGTTAATTAGAAGCTAATTATCGCTAATGACGTTTCTAATCAATTAGGTGACTAGTCTACAAATTATTACACCCAATTAAAAGGTATGGAGTCTTAAAGTTGTTAATAAATTAATAGTGAAATGAAAAAACTAAAAAAAAAATAAAAAATTAGGGTTTTTTTACATTTTTTTTCTTCTTGTTGTTTGACTTCTTTTAATCTATTGATTTGGTTTACACAAGATTTTTGATTAATACAGAACCTATTTATTAAATAAATTTTTAAATAAATAAAAGGAGAAGAAAAGCAAGCATATATAGCTGGAAATGGCATATAATATAACATCACAATTGTAATGTAATCTTTTCTTTTTTTATATATAGAAATTCCGACCATGCGATGCACGTGAAGTATAAGATATTTCGAATTGGTCAATATTATTATTGTGATTATATTTTAATCACAATATTTTGAAAATTGAGAGGGCTAGAGTTGACAAACAATATGCAGAAAAAATAAGAAAAAGATAATTATAAAATTGAGTTCGTAAATTAAATTAAAAAATAGTATATAACATATGTACAACAATAACCTTCAAAATTCAAATGAACAGTAAAAATTGTTTTGGGAATTTGCCAGCAACTCTTCTTTTGTTAATAGGATACATGCAAATAAATAAATAAAAATCTAATTTTGAAATATTTTTTTTCACCAAAATTCCAATTTTTAATTTTTACTTGTACTTACTTTTTTTTTTTTTGGAAATAGAATTGAACTAATTTGTCATTGACTAAAAGAAATTGGAATTTCTCCAAAAGTACTTATTTTGATACGACAATTACACCCCTAGTTAATGGATTGCAGCCCCACAACTATCCCTATGGATTTATAGCAACGAGGAAAAAAAACATTACATAAAAGAATTTTAATGGTGGAGACGTCTAAAAATTAGCCCTAAAAATTAAAGAGCTAATCTAGAGTAGAAAAAAAAAATATAAAAAATCTTAAACTTTAGCATCACTTGCCTAAATAGAAAGAAGTTGAAATAGTATGGCATTATTCTTAAAGCCTGATTGACTGACTAAGCTTATTTTCAACAGCTAATAAGCTCTATTTTCAACAGCTAATAAGCTCTTATATCTGATAAGCACTTACAAAAGTTAATAAGTTATTACTTCTTATTTTCACAATCGATATTTAAAGTATTTGAATAATATTCTTATAAGTTGTTTTTACTCATAACAAGATTTTACATAAAAATATGGGGTAGAAGTATTTTTTTTAAAAAGATCTTAAATTACCAATGAGCTTATAAGCTCTTTTTAACAACTTAAAAGTTTTTTTCTATTTATTCTCGTGATATCAAGAGATATGATGCATGTAAACCAATACAAAGAAGGCTAGACAAGATTGGGATATAGCTTAAAAAAGGACAACCAAAATGGAATTAAAAAATAAATAAATAGATTAAAAGGGTGAAAATAAATAGTGTGTTGAAATTGTGAATCTGACAAAAGTTGTTGCCAAATTAATCACACTGACTTGACATTTGACAATCTCTTTTGCCATATGAGAAACAACATCTTGCAACACTTGCAATCCCCACTGCTTATCCACAACAAGGAAATAATGAGTACCAATCACAGTCTGCCATCTGTAACGAATCTTCTTGTTGCTTCATCATTACAACATAGACCAACCTTAAACTCCCCACACAGTAGACCAGGATGTAATAATTCTTTTTTCTTTTTTTTATATTTTTTTTTCCCCATAGGCAAATCATGTTTATATGTACAGTGTAATGCTACTATAACTGCTTGTGTACACCAGGTGTGTGTATTCACTGTTCATTTATACATGAAATACACGTTCCAGTGTGTGTGTGTGTGTGTGTAAATTACCGGCGTAGTCACGAAAAACCCGATTTCGGAAAAAATCTGGGGAGCCGAAAAGGAGAGGGCACAGCTGATGCTATTCTGGTCCTGCTCACAATTTAAAACATTTACTTACAAATTTGATTGCAAAAACACCATCTTACGTGAAAAAATGAAAACGTGTATCAAGAAACTTCCAAGAATCGAACCCCCGGCTCTTAAATTACATCCCTTATTCAGTTATTCCCCATTTGAGTGCCTATTATTAAAAAAGAAATTTAAATAACTTAAAAATGTAACAAAATTGGAGGAGACTCACCAAAGTGATTTATGACTTGGTTGAATTGAGAGGGAAGTTTCTGCTGCCAAATGATCTTCCTTAGCAGTTGAATGAACGAGTCGCTGAAATTTTTCCGTTAGCTCATCATACGTACCAACATCAGATGGATTTACTTGTTTAATTCCAACTTTCAAGTGTTCCGTTGTGATTTCCGAGGCATCTATGTTTTCCTGATAGGAAAAAAATTGATTTAGAATAAAATGGTAAATAAAATTCGAGGTAAATTACATAAACTACCCTTGAGAAATCCCATCTACCAGCTAAATTCGTAAATTACAAATAACCCCAGTTAAGAGGGGATTTTGTAATTTCGAAAGCTAACCGGGTTTCTTTGTAATTAGGTCAAATCGCAAACAAGTTTTTTGCAAATTACAGTAAATTATTTTACGTACTTCCATAGCTGTAATGGCTGCTTGACGACAGACAAGTGATATATCAGCACCTGTGTAGCCTTCAGTAAGAAGAGAGAGCTCCCTTATACATACATCAGAACTACACGGCATTTGATGCAAATGCACACGGAATATATCCTCTCGGTCTTTTCTGTTTGGTGGTCCCACATAAAGCAGTCGATCAAAACGCCCTAACATGTTTTTTTACAACAATTAGCAGAAATTAAAATGATGTCCTAAGTTTAAAAATAAAAATAAAGGCACAGATGTGAAGGTTACCTGGTCTGAGAAGAGCAGAATCGATCTTATCTGGCCGGTTTGTAGCAGCAATTACAGTTATACTACCCCTTTGTTGCAGACCTGTTGTAAAGATAATTACTTAGAGATTAATTTACTGTTTAAACGGCGATAATTGATATCGGGAGATGATATAGATTGGTTACCATCCAATTCAACGAGTAGCTGACTGATAACCCGATCACCAACCGAAACCCCGTCACTTTCTTTCCCACGAATTACAGCAAGTCCATCAATTTCATCGAAAAATATAATCGAAGGAGCATTTGCCCTTGCTTTGGCGAACAATGAACGCACTGCCTTTTCAGATTCACCGACCCATTTGCTGAAAAGCTCAGGGCCCTTTACTGCAAGAAAATTCAATCCTGCCTCTGAAGCTACTGCACGGGCTAAAAGAGTTTTGCTGCAACCTGGAGGGCCAAACAACAATATTCCGGAAGGTGGGCGGGTTCCAATGCGCTCGAAAGCATCCTTGTGCTTTATAGGCCATTCCACAGCTTCCATCAATTGCATTTTGACCTCTTCCTGACCACCAACATCTTCCCACCGAACTTTTGGAATTTCAAGATTTACCTAATTGTACCAACCAAATAAAATGATTTTTATTTTATATTATAATAATATGAATCATTTTTCTGAAGTATACCAGAGTCGAAGAACAAGAAAAATTGAAGGAACTAAGAAACACCTAATAAAATATCACTAGGCATCCCCTACTTATTTACCCCATTGACAAATTTGCAAGGTGTTATATTTGAATCGTGACGGAAAAAGAATTAAGGACTATAAAGATAGGTGTTACATATTTACCTCTCTCATGGCGCTTGGCCTTATTCTAACTCTAGCCTTCTCAAAGTCATCTGAATTAACACTTAAGATGTCGTTTGGAACAGAATCCCCATTTAATGTTTCTGAAAAAGCTGCCTCCAAATTACTTTCCACAGTATCTACCGAATTTCGAGGTGATTCCACATCAGCGCCCGAGTAAAAATCTCGTGACTGACTTGATGTTTGGCAGACTGAATCGAATGAAACAGTTGAAACTTTGAAATCTGAACTAACATTTGATTTAACATAAAGCCGAAGACGAACTAAGGCTGCCTCGTTGCAAAGAGCAGCTAAATCAGCTCCAACAAAACCATGTGTGCCCATTGCAAGATTTTGGATATCCTTGTCTGAAAGTGAATGCTGAATCTCACGAAGAAGGGCAAGCAATATTTCATGACGCTGCTGAGGAGATGGAACACCTACACATTTATTATAGAACATTAATGCAGAAGGATTAAAATTCAACAAATAAGTGATTATTGGCATATAGAAGCTGGTAAAGGCATTAAAGAAAAATTTACTTGTAGCTATAGTATTTTAACAATGAATGCAATTAATATCATTTCCCATTAATTACGAAGTACCTATTTCAATTTCTCTGTCGAGTCTTCCAGGGCGTCTAAGTGCAGGCTCGATACTGTCAGGACGATTTGTTGCGGCAATAATTAGTATTCCGTCTGTTCTACTAATTCCATCCATCAAATCCAAGAGAGTGGCGACCATTCTTTGAGATAGTTCATCTCCTCCATCTTTACGTGCAGGTGCAAGCGCATCCAACTCATCAATGAAAATCTACATATAGAGTATATTAAGTATTTCGGACCCAACTCTTATAGGGAAACAAGCATATCAATTGACAACTAGGCCATGATGCGATGCAGCATTTAACAAATCCACCACTTAAATAAGAATTGATAATACATATTTTATCGGAGTAATATTTTCCTAATCATATAGTTGATTTTTGGATCATCAAATAGCAGAAGTGAAAATTTAAGAGGGTAAAAGTAGCAGAATGGATCGTCTCACATTGTTGATTTTGGATCATCAAATATGTGTTACATTTCTGATGTGATAATGAATTGTCTGATTTGACACATAAATGTTCTTGATGTCCTCCCTCTAATGGGTAATTATTGCCTTATAGCATTTTTAGATGCTTATTTAGCCAGTTCTGATGACAGTAATCAGAAATCTCAAGATCCCGTGAAATAAAAACAGCCAGTGAGCATTAATAAGTACTACGGTTATCACTTGCACAAATTATGAATTTTGTGCACGTTTTTATAGTCCCAACTCCCAACAGATGGTTTCTGCTCTAATCCTACAATGTCTAATAGAACTGCCATAGTAATCTTTACCACTTAAGCATGGAAATATAAATAAATAGCAATTAAAATCATGAGCTGTAAATGAAGAATTAGAACTTGAAACAAAAATAACATAATTTTGTAAAAAGATGCAACTAAGAAACTTACTACAGCAGGTGAAGCCTTACTGGCATTGTCAAACACTTCATGCAACGCTTGTTCAGATTCTCCATGGTATTGACTAATAATTTCAGGTCCATTTACGGAAAACATGCTAATGCCAGCATCATGAGCACATATTTGAGCCAAAGTAGTCTTCCCAGTTCCTGGTGGCCCATGAAGAAGCACTCCTTTTGTAGGCCGTAAACCGAACCTAAAAAAAGTAAGAGAAATAATCACATAGTTGAAAAAGGTAATGAAGTCAATATTTTCTTATCCCAAACAAATTTTTTTATCATCTTCAACTCAAGAACTGAATATGTACTATCTTGTGACACAGCGACCAGTGTCCCGCACCTCGCTTAAAGACTTCTTTGAACAGAACTAGACCATAATTCTCCAGCACTATTTTATTACATATGAATGTATGATCCTGAGCTTAGACTTATGCACGCATAACATGTGAAGAAAATAACCCAAAATGCTAAAAATACCAGTTGTAAACTTCCCATGCACCTCATTCTATAGCTACCATGATGAAGTCTAAGAATATAACGTAAAGGCAAACTGACAAAATCAGATCAAATATTAAAAGCAAATGATTATGGGGGTCATGATATACACCTTGCAACTGTAACTTGCGATGCTGATGAGATTATAATATCTTTTAGAAGTGCATATTCTTTAGAAAGGCCTCCCAACATAGGAACGTTAATTCCCGTACTAATTTTGGTAGAACCATGTGCAAGTTCTGGTTGTGCTGAAGCGCTGCTCACTGAAGTTTCATCAAACATGCGATTTCCTGGTAACAGAAAATGAATCTTTGTTCCCCAATCTAGAGAAAAAGCAGATACCGTTTCTTGTCCTGTATCTGTACTTCGAGCCGGGAAATCATGATTATTACCATTCGAGATCTCACTATTTGACAACAATCTTTTGGCTGCAACCCGAAAAACACATAGCCCTGAAAGTACTGGGACGATAACAAAATTTCCAGGGAGTAAACTTCGTGAACTCAACCACGACGCAGTGCAGTTCTCTAGAAGCTTCCTTGAAGAATCATCCCCTAAAACTTCCTCCACGTCAAGTATGTTAATAGATGCATGAGACAAATAATTTTTCTTTGATGTGGACTTGTCGTAATTCGATGTGCAAGATGTTGTTGAACACGGAGACCTAAGTTTCGACTCTGAAAGAGATGGTGTCTTTGGGGATGAAACTTTGTTATTTTCAACTTGACCATATGCAACTTCCATATCAATTTTGCCCTTCAAATATACTGGAGATACATAAAAATCCTTGCAGCTGTCTAATGAGATATAACTAGCTGCATTGCCATTTTGTTTACCATTTCTATTCTCGGTCAAAGGTTGACGATTAACAGGATAAACAAAAACAATCCTGCCTGATGCTGGACAACCCAGAGTATATGAAAGGTCCGAAGAAAAGCGCACCCCGTTCTTCAACACCTGTATATAGAGCAATTCTCTGATGAAATAGACACATAAAAAATTGCGCTGAAAATACGTAGATGTTTCAATATCAATAGCTGCAAAAGACACATATAATAGGGTTGCATAGTAGCAATTACTCAATAACCATTGTCTAGATTACGTTGCATAAGATGGTTACATCCTGACAAACAATCAAATTGCATAAACTCATCGAACGCATGCAGAGAGAAAACACAACAGAAATATAGTATATAACACCAATGCTACATACAGACCTTAGAAGATGGGAATACGGTTGCGAGAGCAAAGAAATCTCCCGCTTCTTCACCCACATTATCTGCCGAGTCAAACCCAAAATGCCGTGCGCATTCGTCTGATATCACACTCAAAGGAAAGCCACTCGAAGTTTTGTCCAAAGAAGAAAGGGAGACCTGTCAATATATACGATATTGCATCTTAAATAAACTTTCAGATAGGAGGAAATCGAATATTTGTAACATCATAAAAATTGGAACAGCTGCCGCATAAGAAAACCAAAATCAAATACGAGTGACTATAATCATTAATGAATTAATTAAATCCCAAAGCAACCATGTGAATATCAAAGAGAGGAAGAAAGAAGAAAAAAAATCAGTAAAAATTACAAAGCTGTAAAACATAAATGAAATTGAATAAGAAATTAACTGTACCGAGGCAAGGGAGCCGGGGGGAATGGAAGAGGAAAGCATGGCCGACTCGGAAAGCCAAATTTTGCAGCCTCTGGATTCGGAAACGGCGTCGTACACCACTGTGCCGACGAGAGCTCCTCTGGAAATGAGAGACGGGAATTTAACCGAAGCTTCATCGAGGAAGGACAGCAGCAATTGTTCGTCGGTGGGGTCGAAAATTGACGATATCGGAGAAGAAGAAGAAGCGGCGGCGGGGGGGGAAGAGGGAAAATCGCCGTTGTGGTCGGAGTTGTTGGAGGGTTTCGAAGGTGTTTTTGAGCTCTTTTTCTTCGTAGGCATTTTCGTAACTGAAGTTGAATTAATTTGAACCTTTTGGATCTTAAACCCTATAGAGAGAGAGAGGTTTAAGAAATCATAATTGGGAAATTACTCAATTAGGGTTTTGGTCAACTTAGTCAATGACACTGAAAATTGTCCAGCTCGTGTATTATTTTTAATTTTTTTTTTCCTTTCTTGATCTTCTTAAATCATGGGTTGGCGTAATTTTAATGTACTGTATATACATATAAATATTTATTTATTTATTTTTAAAAATCGTCTTATAATATGGCCTTGCAACACACGCACTCAAAAGCGATTCGAACAACCCCCACTCCTCACCAAACACAACTATTGGAGAGGCTGCTTGTACTACTACGTGAAAGCTTAGTTGGTTCGATCATCGATGTATATTCTAGTCCCGCAAAATCGAGTCGAACTCGACTGTATCTTTATTTTTTATAACATGTTTTATTTTATTTTTTTCTTCATTATATCTTAAGGAATGAAAATGGGAAAAATACAGTTTACATCCCTTAAGTTTGCACCAATTTCACATTTGATCCCCTATGTTCATAAAAAAGACATTTGGTCCCTTAATTTCAAAAATTTAACACTTTTAGTCATTTTCGTCAATATCCCATTAAAACTAACGGAATCAGGTGTGTTAAATTGATGAAAAATGACCAAAAGTGTGTTGCATTGTCGGAAATGAGGACCAAATGTATTTTTTTGTGAACATGGAGGACCAAATATGAAATCATCACAAAAAGGGATAAAAACTGTAATTTCCTCAAATGAATATATATAATTTTTATGTGTTTAAATTTCTAAATGATCCACAATATGCATATAAAAAATAATTAAAAAAAAATCAAGACTTTGGCAAGAATTTTTCACTTTCAATAGTTGTTTTCAAAGAACAAAGAATTAATCCAAAATTAAAAAAATCCCAGAAACAACATCTGTTAGCAACATGAAATTAACCTATGATCATCTGAGAAAGATGTCTAAAAATCAAATCTTTATTACATCATCAGAAAATCAACTGCTCAGAGAATCATTAGCAGCAGCAGCAGACAAAAGAGACTTGGCTGGTGATAAAAGTGCAACACCCCCTTTCTCAGCAGTAATGTATTTTCTGTAAATCCCCCTTAGCTTATGTTCCGCCGCACTCGAATGATACGAAACCAACAGCTTCGCGCAATCCCTAATCCCAAAAAAAAAATATTAATAAATAAAACAAACATCTTTAACAATCAAGAACTCGAAAAAAGATATGCACTTACATAAGCTGTGGTTCGGAAAAACCGGTGTGCAATTTAAGCGTCTCGTTCCAAAACGGGGCCTTGTTCAGCGTACACCTGGCGGCGTAGACTGCCGAGGCGGCAATCTTCGACGGGCTGTACATTAGCGTCTCGTAGTTCATCATACCTAGCTCAGCCAAGTAATACACGAAATTCTCGACATTCGAATCGGTTAGAGACGCCTTGATGAAACGTGCAAGAAACACGTACGGGGTCGGAACGGTGAAGTTCCACTCCAATTCTCCGAGTATATTCTTTTCCATAACCAAGATTTGTCGGTGCGAGTAAGTCTTGTCGGAAATGTTGACCAACTCGTGCACCTCCGGCGCCCAAATTTCCTCGTATTTGGAGGCGATTAGCATCGAGCTCAACCCGACCAATTGGAGCTCCCTTCTTGATGTAGACTTCGAAGCGAGATACCGATCGACTATGTTTACGGTTAAGTAAAAAGTCTCGGGAGATAGCTCGAATTTCTGGTGAACTTGGACTAGCCAATCGATTAGAATCGCTCGCATTTTCTCGTTTATTTCCGGCTGCGAGTCCATGTAGTCGTGGGCCCGGCCCTCGTGCTCGGCTGATTTGTAGAACTTGTACATATCTTCGATGTATTCGACAACTGCCAAGTCGTTGTCCACGTCTGCCGCATCGATATCGATTATCTTCTCCTTGTGTGTAATGATATCACTCAGCCCACAAGCAGCCTGAAATAATCGGAAAAAAAAATCGAGTAAGCGAATTTGTATAAATCAATTAAAATGAGTGAAATAAATTTAAAGTTTTATATAGTGACCTTGCTTCTTGCAGTGAGAGTTGATGTAAGAGTTGGAGCTTTCTTTTTCGCCGATTTTTCGAGAGGCTTCTCTTTCTCTGCAACTTCAACGGTGTCGGGGCTAATCTCGATTATTTCCTCCGGCTTAGGTTTGATCGAAGCTTTCTTCTGAGGCGGCTTCGGGGCGGCAGCCTTCCTCTCCGGCAGAGCTCCGTCGACAGCAATGGCTCCTTTTGTACCAATCTGCAAAAACATCAAAGAGAAAAACCCGAAAAAAAAACAATCAACACTAGTTCTTGATGCAAACATATGAATTATTTATAAAATTAAAAAATATATATATTCAAGATTCGAAACCTTGTTGTTTTCGGCAGCTGCAGCCTGTGCATTAGCCAGTAATTGAGCACAGAAACCCCTGAAATTATTACAACAAGAAAACACTAATTAATTGCTAACCCCAATCATTATCTTTTAAATAAAAGATTTGACAGAAATTGGTTTGTTACAAACCTCGTAACGGGTCGAGAAACTTGAGGAAGCGGTTTTCCATCGGGACCTCGGAGAGTGACAAGATTTCCGATGTCGCCGAGTGCGCGTCGAGTTTTCCTTTCCGCCGCCATGTTCTTCTGCTTGTTGTTAGCCACAGGGGCAACCTCTCCTGTAATTAATAAATTCGATCAACGAATTAGATAATCAAGAAACTCAAACCCCACAAATTCTGTGCGGAAAATCTAAAAAATCTAATTCCATTTTTTTTTTTTAGAATAATTAAAGGAAATGGGATTTCCAAGAACCCAATTAAAAGATTGTTCTTGATTCGAATTGAAAGATGAAGAACATTAAAACACATCAATGGTACTCAAATTAAACATCGATTAATTCCAAAAACACACACGCGCACGCGCTAACAGATTGAAAGAGGGGGTTTTCGAAATACCTCCGTTTTGATGTTGAATAACGTGTCTTGATGCCATCGCTGAAACTTCTCAAGAAATCTTCTCTTACTTCTCTCTCTAACTCTCTCTCTCTCTCTCTACTTCGCTTTCTCTCTCTAAAAATCACATGGAATATGGAGGAAATGGGAGAAAGGGGGGGAGCCCTTTTGAAGCTGAAGCAAGCGGCGCCTCAGTTCCCAACGGTCATATTTTTTTTTGAATTAGTAGCCGTTCGATGAAAGTGGATCCGACGGTCTAGATTTTGTGTTGAGTTGTTGTATCGATTCTGCTTTCTTTTAGCCGTTGAGACAGACAGCGGAAAAGTTACCGTTGTGGTACAAGTCTTGGGGTTAATAAACAAACCGGTATAGTATTATATTTATTTATTAATTAATTAATAATATTACCATCCTCTCTGCCTGATTTCGTGCGAACATCCACACCATTGTTATCGTGCGCACTCGGAAATTTTTGTCCTTGAAGTTTAACAAATAAAAATGGGTATGTTAGGGAAATTTTATTTAATGATCCTTCATCTTATAAATTATAGAAACAAAGGACAAGAATAAGAGAATTGAGACCTAAGGTACTAAAGTGGGACCAATTTTTACGACGAGGGACTATAAATAAAAATTGGCTTAAATTTACAGTCGATAACTAATACTTGATCAATTAATGGCTTTATTTAAATAAAAACGTATTAAACATTAGTTCGATAATTTAATATTTCGCTACATTTATAAAATTTTGTTGTTCTCGACTGTCTTAATTTATAGAGGTATATCTGTATTTTTATCCTTAGGGTAAAATTACAACCACCCCTCAGGTATGGTCAAATTACGAAAAACACCCCTCTTGTTTGTATAATTACATCCATCCCATCAACTCCTCAAATTTAGGGAATCTTCGAGATTATATGCAATATTATCACTTTTGTACCCGTTTTATCCCATTCGAACTCTACATTTTGAAACAAGATGATCATAATATGTGTTATTTGTCTTGTATATATATCAGATTGTGGTGCATTAGAAACTGTATTTTTACACAAAATAAGTACAAACTAGAGCACATTCCACGAAATCTAGATGATTATGTTGAATTTGACACCATAAAGGTGGAGGGTGTAAGAAAAAAACATAGTTGAGAGGTAGATGTAATTATCCAAACAAGAAGGTTTTTTTTGTACATTGATCATACCTCAAGGGGTGTTTGTAATTTACCCTTATCCTTAATATCAAGAAATGATCCATGTGATCGGTCAAACCCTGAGAACAATCTAGATCTTCAATCCTTACCATTAGTTGTCACCGTTTTGATCCAAACCACCCATTCGAGGTATTTAGCCTCCACATCTCTCTCAAACCATATTTTTTTATCTTCCTCACTCTCTTCTTTCGTCGTACCATCGCATTGAATCAATTATCTTTGTCATTGTCCGGCAACACACCATATTTGACTATGACGATGATTGTACCATTATTGATCTCTACTATGGAGACAATCTTACGAATCTTTGGTGGGTAGTTGGGTCAATTTGTGAGGGAAATACAAGAAAGTTTAAATCTAGTAAGATTGGGGATTCTAGATGAGAGCGTTGACCAAGATCTGAGTGGTTCCGGTCTTATCTAACGGTCTTATCTAGGGTTCCACTGAACTTTGCTTTGAGTTTGGTTATTGGTGCCACCGTCAGTGGATTCTGGACGAGAAAAAAGGTGGCACTGCCCATCATTTGATAATTATTATAATAATTATATATTCTAAAACCCATTCAATTTTGTGGAATCAATTAAAAAAAATGTTGTTACAACCAATGATTTAGGCAAAACCAAAAAAACCAATGCCTAGAAAACAGATGCAACTACAAATACAAGACCAATTTTAGGACAACAAATGCAAATATCAAATCATCTCCACACACAAACCGGAGGAAAAAAAACACACACTCGAAAAACCTTCGGGCGAAAAAAAAATTAATAATAGCTACTGCAATTAGTCGAAAATTAAAACGTCCGATCAGTCTTTACAGCAAAACATCGTCGTCTGGACCGGCAAGCAACACCTGCCATTTTTTCAATTCATGTTTAGAGATCTTCACAATAGCAAACGGTGGTTGGGGGGGCCACCTCCCTGTTGTGTTGTAAGAAAAGATAGAAAAGAGAGCTCTCTACTTACATTGCAATCAGAAGCATATTTTCTAGCGAGAACGAGGGCCCCGTTTCTTTCTCGTTCGGATTCGAAAACGAGCACGAAAGATTGTCCTTTACGAGACTGCCAAAACAACGACTTAGCAGCAGAGTTTCCACCGCCTCTAAATCCACATAGCTGGAAAATAAAAATAAAAATACTCGATTTTTGTCAGAAAAAAATGCTGTTTTCTTGTGATAATAATTTAAACACTTATTCATTATTATTAAATTAATTATTAATTAATTAATTACCTGCATGGACCTAGAGTAAGAGTCTCTGGCCTTTGTGATCCATCCTCTACTAAGCTTAATCTTTGTTTTCCCAATATGAAATAAGTGCGCCGAATGCGACGAATAATTTCGTCCATTCATTTGTGAAATAACTACCTGTAAAACGGGAATTTCTACGATCAATTAAATGAACTAATTTCAAGAATTGATTATTTCATAAAATAATTTATCTTATTCAATTTACTATTTACTTACACTGAAGTCGTTGTTCGGTTTTCGTAAAAGTGTCTCCAAATAGCTCGCCAGCTCCGACGCTGTAGTAAAAAAAAAAAAAAAAAAAAACACAAGTCTAGTGTAATAAGATGAACAACACAAACGCAGAGGATGTAATAACGATTTTCTTATATATACAAAATCGAATTCACTATATAACCTTGTTGAATTGGGCCGTTAGTTGTAATTGTGACTTTTAGCCCGTTCGAAGTTATATCGGCTTGAAGAACTCGGCCCACATCAATCGGCTCGGGAGCATAAACGCACTTGTGCGCACCTATCAAAACCCGATCAATTTACCAAAGATTCATTATTCCAAATACAATTTTATAGAATTAAGATTCCTTATAACTAAAAGCCAATAATACGGGGAAAAAATACGAAAAAACGATACCTAAAATAGGTTCCCTTCGGCTGCATTGAGGTGAAAGACGATACCATTGGATCGAACATTTTGCGAGGTCAATTGCGTCATTTGAACAGGGCTGAATTCGTAAAATCGAACTTAATGACTCGGAGCCGCTTATCTCATAAACTCGGGATGTATTTTCATCGGCTTTCATGCTCATTGCCAGCTGTAAAAATACGAGGATTATAATTAAGAGGGGAAAAAAAGATTTAATGTGGAGAATAGGTATAAATTTCAAAAATTGAAATAAACGAGTCGAAAACCTGATTTTGAAGATTAACCGAAATTGTACACTTCTCTCTAATTTGAAGTCTCAGTTCTCGAAGTTCGTGTTCCATGTCTACCACCTACAAACATATAGAATTAATACGAAAATTATATATATATATATATATATATATATATATATATATATATATATATAATTAAATAATGTCGACGAACCTTCCTAGGTTGATGCATTAATCTTATTCTTCTGGCTTCTTGAACCTCTTCTACTAGTTCCTCCAATTCCTAAATCGTGAAAACTCGAAGGTAATCGAAAATGCATTGTGCAAAATAAAATAGACATCGTACACATTTAAATAAATAACTAACTTTTTTATAGAAATATATTCGGAATTACCTGCTGCTTCCCCGAGCTTTGGTTTCTTTCTTGTTCGTCGAGCGCCTCTCCGATCCTTTGCACAACTGCTCTTGCGCTCTCGATTTCGGCACAAGCAAAAGATTTTTCTTGATTCACTAATTTCTTGGCATCTTCAGAAGCCTGCAAAATTAAATAAAAAAATCAATTATTCAAATACAAACAAAGGGTTCGTTACATTTGACGATCTCAAGTTTAAAAAAATATATATTTAATTTATTAATTAGAAAACCTGCTTAAGAAAATTCACTAGCTTTTTCACTTCAAACTTTTCTTGAATCAACTCCCCTTCTTTTTGAGTCAATTTTACCGCCAACGCTTCCACCTGAATAACATAGCATCCAACGTACGAAAAATTTAATACACAATATATATACATTATGTATATATATAATATACATTGACTAAAAACGAGAAATAACCGACCAATGAAATAGCTCTCTCCACATCTTCTTTATTTCGACCAGCCAATCTTCCTTTAAGATATTCCAACGCATCCCTCAGCTTCTTCAAAAGCACATGTCCATCTAAAGATGCCACCTCCTTAATTTTGGCCTGAAAAAAACCCACCGCAAAACACGACACGAAACAATTAGTTCATCCAATTATTCGAAGTGGGAATTTCTTAAATCCCACGAAATCGTAACACATCACGAAATTTAATTAACCGATTTTCTTGGCAAAAAAAAATCATTCTTGAAAAATAAAAAATAAATAAAAATAAAAATAAACCTCTTCAGACAGCTTTGCAGCAGCAGCCAAATTCTTGTCGAATTTGCTGGCTAGGTCCCGAACGGACAGACGTTTATGTTGTTCGGTGAGCTGGTTTGTTTCGTTAAGAACAACTTCCTTCAAAGGTGGGCCCTTTATTTCTTCTTTGATCTCCTCCAAGATTTCATTATTAGGTCCTAATTTGTATTTAGGAAACTGATTCGACCGAAAGCTAACATCGGACGACACTGTCCAAACTTCGTCTCCGATTTCTGGACTAACCCTCGTCATTAATTTAGCCCAACTTTTTTTTTTCTTTTTCTGTTGAATCGAACATTAAATCAAGATCAAAATCAGAGCTTGATGACAATGCAACAACGTATAACTAACTCTATATGCACTAAAAGTAACCCCAAATGATAAAGACTCAATTTTTATTACTCATTTCATTCTATTAATGGAATTACATAGATTCTTACATTGAAAATTAGCTGATAATTTAACTGAATTGCAGTATTTTCTTGTATAAATAAAATTATTACATACTGTCACCACAAAAAAAAAAAAATAGCTGATAATTTAAGCAAGCAATCTTCCTCACTGATTACCACGTTTAATGCATGCCACAAGTGAATATATCAAGAAATAACCAACAAACATTCATCAATTTACACACACACAAAAAAAAAAAAAAAAAAAAAAAAAAAAGAGTCCATTTTTTATTTATTTTTTTAATTACAACAACAAAATCCAGTAACAAGAAAAGAAAATAGGAAAAAATAATCAATAAAAAACTGATCTTTGGAAGTTTGCTATACTTTAAAAAAAAAAATAATAATAATTCAAACATGAAAAGGTTGAAGGAGGAGAAGGGCACTTACAGAATATTATTATTACAAGACAATGCAGAGAATTATTACAAGCGGAGGAAGAAACTTGCACACACATTCATATTCTATTTTCTCTCTCAAGAAACTCAATTTGGTAGAAGTAGAGAGAGAAATTGTGATGTAAACAAGAAGAAGAAGAAGAAAGAATCAGAGAGAAATTTATGTCTCCTTTAACAAAAGCAAACTGAAAAAGGAAAAGTTTTCTCTCCACACCATTTCCACTGACACCAAACTCCTTTCTTTTACCTCTCTTGGTTTTGGTTCCTTAATTCTTTCTTGTTCATTTTTGTATTTACAACCTGGCAATTCCATGAAATTACATAAAAGTCCTTGCTTCTACCTTTTTTCTATTCAAATGGGACCTCAATTCTTTGGGCTATTCAATTCAACATCAAGTTGTGCTTAGTGTTAGTTCAATTAGTTGCCTTGTATGCTTATGCAACCAATATAGATTTGGTATTCATGCTACTATCATTTGATGAAAGAAATTAAATTATTTTTCACTAGTTAGATAATAATTTTACATTTATAAGAGAAATCGAGATACCTATCCTTGACAAATTATCTAAAATTATAATATCTAACATCTTTTAGGACTTGTAGTATTTTAGTTATATAGAAACTCAGTCAATCTATAAATTTGATTAAATTGTTTTTTTTTTCTTTCTAAAATTGTCTTATTATAATGGATGACCATGTGTTACTCCGGGTTTAACAGCAATTGCCCACATAGAGAGGTCCAGGTATGAGCGGCTCACAATCCAATGACGTGGACGTTTGTGTATGCTGAATGCACTATAAGACTATAGTTTGTGAAGTGACTTTTTTAGGAATGGGATAGACCTACAACCAGAAAAGCCCAAAGAAGAAGCTCACATATCCCTAAAACACCTCCAAAAAGGAATGTCGGGGAATAATTTCGAGGCGTCAGCACTCCAACGATCAAGTCAGTCGGAATCATGGGGGAATCAATATGTGTATTTGAAGTGATGTAATGAGAGTAAGATGAATTTGGAATACTAGTCTCTCTTTCCCTTGAATCTCGAGGCTGTATTTATATCTGTCATATGAACGGATGGTGGGCCCATCTACCTATGGTTACAGTCACACGTGGGTGTAATGTAATTACTAGCTGCCTCGTCCCTCGTGAGTCGGGTCAGTTCAATTCGAGAGTGCTCGCAACATTAGTATATTCCTTGAACACACTTCGGTTAAAGAATGAACATATGAACTACTAAAAAATGATGATAATTTGATGCAACTTTTGTTGTAAACATAAATAGTGTTGAACATTTGATGAAATCAAATCTTACAAGAACCAAAAAAAAAAAATCCAATCCCACAACTAAAGGGTAAGGTTGTCAATTACCAGATAGGGAGTGTGGCAAAAGCTATTTTTGGAGTGCCACCAACAATATGAATCTCATCTTGCAAGCCTGTCAAAAAGAATTCCTGTGTGATGTCATGATTATGGTAAATTTCAGTTACAAAAAAGAATAATGGCCGAACAGTAAAAAAAACGAAGACCAAAAAGTTTCCTTACTCAACCCACGCGCTGTCCCCACTCGCCTTCATACCCTTTCTTTACAGCGTGCAGAGCGCAATAATCGATGATGTAATGTTTGATGGCGCGTGTGACTAATCGCGTGAAAGCGACGACGATGGTTTTGCGCGGGTGCCGTGTTTTACGGTAGAGGTCGCCGTCGGATTCCACCACGTTTGTTAGGGGTTATTTACGAGATTGCCACCGCCGAAGTTGGATGTGACCGTTTTGTCCTTCAAGTGACCTAACGACAACGTTTTGATTCCTCCCAGAACCGGAAGCCACTGTGGCACGTGAGTTTGACACGTGCTCTTGATTTTTCATTATTTATTTCTTCTTTTACTTTGCTTTGTTTTGTTCCTTTTCTTAAACTGAAAATTAACACTTTTAGGGGAAATAAATAAATTATAAATAATAAAAATAAAAGAATCTATAAGTGAAAAAATAGTTTTTAATTAATTCCATTACAAATAATTTTAGAAATTTAGAAAATAGAATTTCATAAATTGGAATAAAAAATGCTCTAAATATGGAATTTTGAATCGAATATCCTAAAATATATATATAGTAGTATTGAATTTATAAAGACAATTTTCGGGAAAAAAAATATCCAAATTAATTTCTGAAATTAAAATCGGAACTACAAATCGAATCTTGTTTATTTTCAACTTTCGATCCCAAAAAATTCGAAGAAAAAATAAATAGAATTATATTAATTTCAAAATTTAGAATAAAAATTATTGATATAATTGAAATGTCAACGTAAAACCACTATAAAAAACTACTGCATTAAAAAAAACAAAAAGGCAATATTAATTATTATAATTGTTTGGTCGCATTCATAATTTTATAACCAACTTACCTTTTAATTATGTAAATTAAATTAGAGACAACTACTTTTTATGACTTTGGGTTCCATCCCACAATGATTAATCCGAATTAATAAAAGGTTTTAGTGTCTATTCATGATCCAATTATACCATTCCACGTGGATTTTTTAAAATTATTTTTTTAATTTAATAGAGAATTAGGAGGTGGTAGGGCTAGATGTGTGTTGTTCTAATGATGGTTTAGAATTGATAAACTTTGGTTAATTGACAAAGCTTGCCTACATTTTTGGATGTTGTTAGGTGGCATTGCAAAATACTTAATGCTTTTAATGATGGACTAATAGTAATTAGTAGTTGGGCTTTTTTAATTTACATTAAAAAATAATTAATAAACATCTTTCAATTTAAAAATGATTTTTTTTTTATAACATTTGTCTTTAATATTTGTTGTTATTGCTGTTACGTCAAGAAAGTGCATCAATTTGTTATTTTAGTAATTAATTAATTAAAATTAGCCTAAACTCTAATTTTATTTTATATATTTAGGATAAGGATGTTGAAGTTTTGTCAACTAACTAATACATATTTTAATAAACTATACAGATATAAAATATACAGGGGATAATATAATATATTGATATTATAATATAGAACTCTGGAAATTAAAGCAATGTAGTTAGCTAGGGTGGAATCTGATATGATTAGAACCATAAGCTAAGTTTAGTACTAATTCTTTTCAGATTAAATAATACACGTCTAATTAATTAATTAATTAATTAATTAATACATGTCCCTTTCTTTCGTTGTTATTTGAAAGGTAAAAGAAACTAAGATACATAATTATCAAGTATCACATCAATGAATGAACATAAGATAACTAATTAAAAACTCAAATATCTTATTTTTTAAATACAATTTTAATTCCAATTACATGTGAAATATATACGATTTTTAGAAATAAGTTGTTTATGCTTATAATCTGTTTTTAAGTATTTGCAAAAATCAACTCTTACTTTTGCTTTTCGTAAAATAAGTTGATTTAAGTTGTTTATTAAAAAGCACTCGTAGTCGTAGACCTATTTTTCCCATTTAAATTGATTTTCCAGCATCTTTTACAGCACGAATTTATAGAAATAAGAACTTAAAATCCACTTTAACGCAGAATCACTAACTTCTGACTTTTTAATACGTTTTTGCAAACACCATCTAAAACTCGTTCGATTTTACTCAATTATGCTTTTCAAAGTAAAGTGAAAATACACCATTCAAACTTCGATAAAAAACCAAACAAACTCGAACAATTATACTTTTCAGCTCGACTTGATTTATTTTTACGTATATATGTGTGTGTGTGTGTGTGTGTGTGAGAATGAAGAGATGGACCTCGTGACCCATGCCTAAATTACAACTTAGTCTTGAAATGGTTGATTTCACATTGAACATATCACATGGTGGGGCCCAAATAAAAAATCATGCCCTAACCAGATTAGTGGACCCGGGCCCGGGTCCAAACTTTTTATTCGGGCCTTTTGTTTGATGGGTGATGGATCAGGGTTTTAATCCGTTTACTTATAATAATCCATCATGCATAGATGGAGACTTCCTACCATCTGCATGGAATGTGACCTAATTAATTAAATTAAATATCTTGGCAAAAATAATTGGATTTTAATAAATTAATGTGTATTATTTGCAAATAAGAATGTCAAAAAAATTCAGATTTATAAAAATGATTAAAATAAATAATTATTTGCATTTTTAAATAGTTAATAAATAAAAAACAAATTAAATAAATAAATTAATTAATTAATTAAATAATAGAAAATATTATTGAATTTAATATATATTAACATTGAAATAGTACTAAAACATGTCACTGTTCATTCGCATGACCAAATTTTTATAAACAATATAAATAAAATAAAATAAAATAAAAGAACACAATTCACATGCACAAAGGTATTTTTCTTGGGAAATCTGATGTGACCATGCGAAAATATGTCTAGTAGTGTATTATTATTTTTTTAGTAGTCATGAAATTGAATTAAATATTATGTGGGGCTATATATATATATATATATATATATATATATTTCCATCATTTTCTCAGTATTGTCCTAATCTCAATAATCAGGAATTAGGACACATATTTTGAACAATCAATATTGCAAATCTATATCGCCAGGCCCCCCCTCCCCCACCCCACACGTGGGGGCCAAAAAAACAACAAGAAAATAATTAAAAGGGAGAGAGATATATTTTGTTTCTTTTTTCTGATTTGAGGGTTGGATGATTTTAGGAAAATATTGTAGTAAATAACGATCAAAGACAAACCGTAATTCTATTAGTGATGCAAAATTCAATCGAACAAGTGGCCGTAAACTTAGAGTGTTGATCGATTTGAAAGATTATTTAACGAAATTGAAATAACTACAATTTTCGGTTGTTCGATTAAGTAAATTAAAGGAAAGCCAATGGAATTCGTAGCTTTTTCAATTTTTTTCGCTTTTATTTTTATTGTCTAAAATATTCACCAGCTAAGATCTTTCCGATGCTCCTTTTCGCCATCCATAAATTAAACCAATAATTAAGATGACCACCTATTTTATTCAACAAAAGTTGTAATAAACTCGAGTCCCATTATTCATAAAAATATTATAAAAAAAACTCAGAGTCCCATAATTCATAAAAATATTAAAAAAAAAAAAAAAAAAACAACTCAGACTCCAATTATTCATAAAAATATTTAAAAGAAAAAAAAAAAAAACTCGAGTCTGTTATAGAATAAAAGAACAATGCGTATAGAAAGATGGATATATGTGTGCTGCGAGAATTTTATAATTGAATGAAAGAGTTGCCCATTTCTGAAGCTAGAATGCTTC